TTTTTTTTTTTTTTTTTTCCCTCTCCCCACCAGTTCCTTCGTTTTCGTTCTGTTTTTTTTACTTTCCTTTTGTTTTACAGTTTTACTTCGTTTCCATTTGATTTTTGGGGAAATTTTCGAAATGCCCCCAAAGTTTGCGTTTATTTGCGGCGTGCCCCTGTAAAGGCTGACTTACCCTGTGGTGCCGCTCGGGCCTCTGAAATTTTCTGCAGGCCCCTGAAATTTGTGTCGTATGATTTCCTCGATTCATGGGCGCGTTGCCCGTTTTCTGTCCAAGCTTCATAGCCATGTGCTTCACGGTTAATTCATTTTCGTGGCTAATTTGTCACGTTCGGGATTCTGACGCGTCATGGTCTTCGTCTTTCCCCTCCTCTTTGCTTGTCGTCAGTCTCGATGGTTTGAAGTCTTTGTCTCGCTCGCTTCTCTATCTTGCCTGTCGTCAGTTTCGATGCATGGCAGATGCTGGTTGACTCAGGATGTTTGAATGCTTGTACGTCGTATCGTGAGTTTTGTAGATCTTATAGGTCCCTGAGGACCGATGGGTATCTTGCTTATCGAGCATTTATGATCGTGAATAATCTCACCATCGTTTAGGTGTTGGAACCGTCGTAGCAATTAGACTACGTATGTGTGACACGCATTGCTTTATCTTGGATTTACCTGTTGCTGTTTTTGTTCGTGGTTTGGTTTTGACTGTGATTGTTAGGCATGGCAGGAGTGCCTGTGAATCGGGGATGCTACGAATGTGGCTCGATGAGCCACTGGGTGCGTGATTGCCCACATCGGGCTCGGCAGTTTCGACCGCCGGCGACGGAAGCCAACACGGTCCCGACTGGTGCACCTTTATTGACTCTACTTGCACCTTCTTCGTTCTCGGCACCGCCTAATCCTTCATCTATTCCATCAAACTCTCACGAGGCTGGGCCTTCAAATTATGGGGCTGGATATCAGCAGCCGACGCGCTCGGGAGGATGGTGGAGAGCCAACCAGGAACGATTGGACATGTGCTATAGTAAGTATCTAGAAGATCAGCAAAAGGAGGTTAAGCGCAAGGAGGAGGAGGAGAAAGCTCGGGTACGCAAAGAGGAGGACCGTAAGCTCGAATGGAAGAAGGAGCGGGAGCTGTTTGAGCAAGAGATGGGAAATCAATTGGAGAAGAGGATGCAGAAGTTGTGTCTCGTCAAGGAGGGAGGGAAGGAGGCAGTTGGGGCTAGCAGTATGGTGAACGAAGTAGCGACTCTGAAAGCGGAGAATGAGATGCGGAGGATGGAACTGGGAGGTGGTGTGGCAACACAAGAGGACGGTCGATTTGCTCGGTTGCAACCCGGAGCTGCTTGATCTTCGCAAGCAGGTCGCAAGGAAGAACGCTCAAGAGAACGAAATATTTGCTTTAAAACAAGAGATCGGGGAATTGAGGGATACAGCGCTGGTTAAGATTAACTTTTAGCAGGAAATTATGGGGATGAAGAAGGAGATTGAGGCGCTACGTGGGAAGAATGAACGGGCGATGGATGAAGCAGTACTTTGGAAGAGTGAGGCCCTTAGGCCAGGTAACAAACGGGAGAGCATCGCGATCAACACTCCGGACTGCTCACTACGGGGTACTCCTAAACCTCGTTGGACCGACAACATCCGGGAAGGAGATAAATGGAAAGAGGAATACAGGAAGCTACAAGGCTTGCACAAAGTGACTAATACGGAGGCGGAGGTACTCAAGATGAAGCGTGATGAAGCTGAGGTTAAGCGCATGGAGGCGGAAAAGCAGGTGAAGAGCCTCCAAGATAAGCTAAGTCGGCTGACTGCGAAAGAGAAAGGTGACAAGCCCGTATCAGGAGGAACAAATTTGAAGGAACGTTTGGAGGAAGTAGCGTTGCGATCCACTCGCAAAGGAAAGAAGGCGACGCCAGGGAGGGTCGCTAGGAAAGGGGACGGATATAAGGAAAACGACGCGAATGACCGTTTTGCGTTCATCGAAGATCAAAGGAAGCAGCTGCGTATGATGAGGAAGTGTGGATTAGAATCGTTGTGTAAGGATGCAGGGATTAAATTGGGCAAGGTGGATCAAATGGTTAGTGAGTCGGCAGACTTCCGAGATGATAAAGCTTTCGGCAAGAGCAAGGGAAAAGAGAAAGCGGAGGGATCGCCCTCACAAGACGACTGCTCCGTGTATGAGGTAAGTGAGCAACAGGGGAAGGAAGCGTCTGGGCCGGAAGATGTTGATGCCATATCAGAGGAACTATGAGGGGACTTCCCGAACGTGGGCGGTCTTTGGTCATGGGCAAATTTCTGTAGATCTGTTCGAACTGTTGTCGAGTCTCCTCCCTCTTCCTCTCCTCCCTCTTCCTCTTCCTTGCTCTCCTGTTTCACTCCTCTACGATCGAGGGAGTTCAACGGTTTCTTCCATTATGTGGTGTTGGCTTTGATTTTGAATGGGCAGATTCCTTGGGCTGAGAGGATTAAGGGTTATTTGTTGGACTTGCTGCGGAACGGTTACGATTTTAAACGATGTGAGGGGCCCCCCATCTATGTTCTTATCTCGCCGTGGTGTGGACGTACTTATGTCGGCTCAACTTCTCGATCTTTGCCTGTACGTTGGAATGAGCACGTCTATCGTGCTACTAATCAGGAGGTTGTGGATGGAAGGAAACGAAACCATAAACTGTATGCATGGCTGAGAAGATGCAGGGTGGGCCAGTATGTTGCCCTGCCGTTATTTTGTTGTGAGGAGGGTGACTTATTGCACCTGGAGAAGTTTGTGATCAACTGGCTGAATCCCTACCTTAATTCTAAAGATAGACTGGGGAAGAAACGGCGGTGTAGGGGGGGGAAGAAAGAGCGTCTGAGACACAATAAAGCTAATGGGGGGAGCTCGTGCGTACGATATAAAAAACATTGTGTTTTTCACTCAACCATTGGTATGGTTTCGGTGAGGATTTCAGCAATTCTGGATTAGTATATGCGTCGGGGTATTTCCTCGGTAGGGATGGTCTGTGTAGGAGGCGAGCAACTGGTGGAAAACTGGAAAGTGTTGAAACGAAGGTATGGGTCCTCATTGATCGATAGCGATGGGAGTATTGAACTCCTTAAGAAAGCTAAAGGAGTTTTTCAGGTGGGTAAATACATTCGGTTCCTGGCTATTGTTCCCTTCTCTCTCGTGCTCTGATGCTTAAGCATGCCCTTGCTAGTCTTCTGTCTAATCCATCGCTGCGCAAAGATTTGGTAAGTTGGAACCTTCCTTAGATGGTGAAGGCATTCTCGGTCGTGCGTGGTTTCTCTGAGAAACGGAGTAGTTATCAGTTGCGGGTTGTTCTCTCTGGAGTGATTCGGCGGAGATTTGGGATTAACGTGAGAAAGAGATTGGTTGTCCGTGTCACGTTTGATGAAATTCTTTCTAAGCCAAGCGTTCGAAAAGTGTGTGCGGATCTGGTCATGGCCTTCGAGGTTGAGGATGATTGGAAGAAAATGATTGTTTGTAGGATGCGAGTGGTGTGGATGCGTAATAAGAATCTCGACGATCTGATTTTTAACTTTCGGAATGCTGCTCGGGAGAGGGAGGTGGGTTGCTGTTGTGCCTCCTTTGGTCCATCGTTCCCTCGGTCCGGTGACCACGTGTGCTTCCGTATCAATGAAATGGAAAGTGCCCCCGCGTGTGTTAGAAACAATAGGAATGTTATGAGATCATCGAGGGTTGATGTGGTTGGTAGACTGAAACGGCATATTTTGAAATCTTTCCAGGGGATGGATGTTGGGATCCCACATGTTCGGCGCAAAGATTTGTCGGGTTGTTTTCAGGCGGAGACTGGTCGGTTTTCCGATAAAGTTTGTAAAGAAGAGGACTTGAGAACGTGGTGTGCGTTAGTTGATGGTCTTGTGCGAGTTCCGATAGACCATAACCCAGGTGATACACTTGTTTGTTGTCCCTTGCTATATCGGGAGGGGATGAGGAAGCTTTTCTTGGGCAATGATGAGTTTGTAGAGTGTGAGGAGGGTGAGGCTAATATCCTGCGTAAGACCAAGTCACGGTACAATGATGCGAAGCTGGGGGGCCTGGCGAAATGGGATGCCAGAGGGAGTGTTGGTAAGGCATATGCCATTCCAAAGCACAAAGATGCGATGAAATGGAGACCCGTTTGTCCCTCTCAGACCGAATGTAGTGTGAGGGTCTGTTGGAAGGTCTCACAGGTGATTAATCATCTGGTATGACAGCTCCCGCGCAACTCTCATTTTAATTTGAAGAGTACGGATTTGTTGGTGTCCTCGTTTGATGAGGTCAATAAAGGATTGAGACAAGGGGAGGGCTTGCTGATGACGGTTTTTGATGTAAAGGAAATATTTTGTAACCTCCCGCACGATTCCATTATGAGAGTTTTGGATTGGATCATTAACTTCTGGAGGATGAGGGGGGTTAGGGGAGTGGTTGTCAAGAAGCATGGGAAAGGGGCGGGGCTGCTAAAAGGTAAAGTGGCTGAAGGCTGGCAGACCATTGACTTCGATATTCTTTGTCACTTTCTTTTGTTTGACCTTTCGAACACGTACACGTCGGCCTGTGGTCGGGTCTTCCGACAGGTCGGAGAGATCCCTATGGGTAAACCCTCAAGCCCTGCTGTCGCATGTCTTTTGTGTATTTCCTCTGAGTTCTCGTTCCTACTATCCTTGGGTTGTGATCGGAGATTGGTGAAGGGTGTGAGGTTGAGTGATGATGTATCGGTATTCATCCGGTACACGAAGGGGGATGCATCTTCGGTGAAGAAGGCCGAAGCTTGAGTAAGTTTGAAAAGTGTTACGACGAGAATCTCACCTTGGAATGTACGGATCGTACGAAGTTCTGGAGCTTCCTTGGGTGTGTGGTTTCGGTGTTTGATTGGCCAGTTGGTGTGAGATGTTCGGCGACTCACAAGAATCAAAGTTGTGTTCTAGAGCAGGGGATAAGATTTCAAAGTCTGCAGGACAGTTGCTCGTATGTGAGTAAGCGCCAGAAACTGGCGGTGGTTGGATCATTTTTGCACCGGGCGAAAAGATTTACTAGTTTACCGGGGGCAGAGACATTGTTCCTGCTTACTCTCAAAGTGGAACTCAGACTGCGGGGTTTTCACAATTTGATTTTTGATCAGGCGCTGCGCAACTTTTCTGCAAAGTTTGAGGGGATCTGGGATGGATGGGTCGAGTGTTTTACTGGGTGGAGGTAGGTAGGTAGAGTAGGATGTGGTTTTGGATGAGAAGCTAGTAGTAGGAACTTGGGCAATGAAATCATTCGGGGGTCTGAATGGATGGGTTATTTGAAGTTTTGAACGTGATTGTGTACTTGTGGATAAGCTGGACTGATTAAAGGTTGCCTATTGCCGGGGTGTTGAAGGCGGCTTTCGGTTATTGGAACATGTGCTGTTTGGGGAATTCCTGTATTTGCGATTTTCGAACTGGTTGAGCCTCGGGCTGAGGGCACCAGTTTGGGATATTGGTGATGATCGGTTTTGTTGACTGACTGAACTGGATGAGCCTCGGGCTAGGGGCACCAGTTTGAGACATTGGTGAGAATCGGTTTTGTATTCTTGATTCTTACCGATTTGGGGCAACGGTGGAGGCCAAATTTGGTCCGATAGGGGTTTTTTGGGCCTGGTCCTTCTAGTATGACACGTCTTTGGCCTTGTTCTTGGCTCTTAGGTTGTATTTGGACGTTTCTTGTCTCCTCTCTGGCCAGGTATGGGCTGGCGGTCTATTTTTTGCTCGTCTAGGAGCCTAGTTGGGTCTATAGCTGCTATATATCTTGTGTTGATGCGTTAGTCTCATGTGACACAGACCCCTGAAGAGCTCCGATACGGCGATCGGACGAAACTTCAAATCATCAGCCGAATGCTTGGCGATTTCATCGATTCATGGGCGCGTTGCCCATTTTCGGTCCAAGCTTCATAGCCATGTGTTTCACGGTTAATTCATTTTCGTGGCTAATTTGTCACGTTCGGGATTCTGATGCGTCATGGTCCTCGTCTTTCCCATCCTCTTTGCTTGTCGTCAGTTTCGATGCATGGCAGATGCTGGTTGACTCTGGATGTTTGAATGCTTGTACAACGTATCGTGAGTTTTGTAGATCTTATAGGTCCCTGAGGACCGATGGGTATCTTGCTTATCGAGCATTTACGATCGTGAATAATCTCACCCTGTCAGCATGGGGCGTAACTTTCCGATATGCCCTTACTGGACCACTGGTGGCATTTCGTCGGTCGGTCCTTGAAATGTCCTCATGAGGGGCACACATCTTTCTGTGATGCCCTTGCAGCAGTGGTGGCAGAATTTTGAATTCAATGTGGCAGGCATTCCACGCGCCGCCACGAAAAAACGGTCTCTATATGTGTGTGTGTGTGTGTGTGTGTGTGTGTGTGTGTGTGTGTGTGTGTGTG